GTCGAATTTCGAATTTGAAATCAGATTTTCGAATAACGTTGACACCCCTAGAAAAAAGTGCGACAGTGGTATGATGTGCATCTTGTATATCACATCATGTGGCGATATTTGTTGGCGTTGTTTTCATATTTAAAATGTTGAAGCATGGTTTGAGAAGCTGAAGAATATGTTGCATGATGATTGCATTCCTCAAGGAGTTGAAGCTATAGGGATCATGGTTGTTTCCTTCTCCTCGAAGTGTGCATCCATGGTTGTTAGCTTCTGTGCTTAACCCGGGTTTGAGTTCATTTATAGTAGTCAATGAGGTTGAAAATAGGGCTGTTCATAAGAATGCCCAACCCGACCAACCCGGACTGACCCAATTCGAGTTGGCCGGGTTTTCATCAGTATCGGTCGGTTTCGGGTTGGGCAAATATATAAACTGATATATCGGGTCGGTTTTGGTTTTCTTGTGTGAAAACCGAAACCAATCCGACCCAAACCGAACTAGTCTTCTACTAGTTCGGTAGTTCCTAGTTTGAGTAGTTCCTACTAGAACTAGAAGGCCCATTAGGAAATTACAATTAGAATAGGCAATTTATCATAATTTCTAACTTTCTATAGTCTTTTACACCAAATAGGAAACCCATTAGGCAATTATAATTAGAATTCAATTAGGTGTCCTTTTGTACAGAAGCAAAACCGAAACTGACCGAAACCGACCCAACCCGACTCAAACCGACTAGGTCGGTTTGGCCTATCAGTGGGTCGGTTTCAGCTTCCACCTCAGGTAACCCGACCAGGTCGGGTCGGTTGGGAAAACCCTAATAAACCGACCCAACCCGACCCGTGAACACCCCTAATTGAAAACTCATGGGTTCCCTGTATTTACAAGAGTATCTGAGAGTTAATATTATTTTTACTTGTTTTGTTTGTAGTTTTTTTTCTTGTAACTTTAAAGACATATCATGGTTTTCATGTCTTAAGAAGGTTTTGGTCGTAGAAAGGGTAAACAATAAAACCGACGAATATAGTGAGGGGAAAATGATACAAAGCAATAGTTTTTCTTTGTTAGTACTTTTGCACCGGTGAATTGGATGTTGACAACGGTGAGTCTTTGTGAGAAGTAGGTCTTTGTCCAATGAAATTCACACAGGTATTTAAAGCCTATTAGCCCAACAAAGGGCAAAATTGGGTTTTGGGAATATTTAACGCATACTTGAGGTCACATATGGTGGTCTTTTAACGATAATATTTAAAGAATCAGAAAGATTAAGTGTATCGGAAAGATAAATTTAAGAGACGAATTGGAATACACCTTGAATACATATGAAAATAAATAAAAAATTAAGATACACATGAAAATACTATAGATACTCCAATAAATCATAAATATACAGCAATAACATTAAATACGGGGTATAAAATGAGGTGTATATAATTATTTAATGAAAAAGTATGTCATAATCAACATATGGAAACATAAGGGTATTCTCCAATAAGGTTATAACTACAAAATATAAGCTTAATAATTATTTAATGAAACATTTTCTATAATTTAAAAAAATGATTTATTCATTATTCAAACAATTATTTTACTTTTTATTACAAAAATTGTAACAAAAAAAAAAGTAATAGAAAAATAATTTTATGGATGTGGCAGAACATCCATAGATTTACAACATGGTAAATATTATGGTTAGATCACACAAAAAAATTAGAAACAAAATAAATAATACAAAAAATAAAAAAATAGTTATTATACAATAAATTTCAATAGATTTATGAATTAAAAATTGGAAAATTTATTTCAAAATTACAAAAATAAAAAAATATATATATTTTTCATACTAAAATTGAAAAATAAATGTTTTTTATTCAAAAATTACAAAAAATAAAAAATGAATCTTTTAGAAACTTCAATAGATCTATGGATATGGTAGATCATCTATAGATGCATAACACAATTATTCTCCATGGGAAGATTACTCCAAAAATATAAAATTTTGTTTTTTTGTTATTTTTTATTTTTTTCTAATTTTTTTCAAATAACTAAATAGATCTATTTAAAGCACAAAAAATATAGGATTTTCAACATAAGGAAAGTGTATATATAAAGCATTTCCAATCATTAAAAAAACACAAACTATTGTAATGTACTATCGAATAAATTGAAAAAAGTATCTATTTTTGCATTTTTTGTAAAAAGTTGAAGAAAAAACCTAAAAAAATATTGAATTTTAGAGTTTTTTTTTCTAAGATTTTACAATCCAAGAATGTGTAGTGATGATTTAGTGAGTTTAGGAGAGAAATAGGGCTTTTGGAGGGAGTTATAAGCCTTTTTTTTTTCTCAAAAAAATCAATTCATTTTTTACCTATAAGAAATTGTAATGTATCGACTGATAGACCCCAATACAGTTACGATATAGTCTTGATATGCCCCGATACAGGTTCGATACGCCCTCGATATGGTCACGATACGAGGTCGGCTTGACGAAAAGACACAATACAAATGATTTTGTAGTGTTTCTTGTGCCGATCCCTTAAATATATGATATGTATCGGCTAATATGGACTGATACATTGTGAAATTTTGAACATTGTTTAACGAAATCCTAATTGAGGGGAGATTCTTGTACGATAACATCTCATAATAGGGGAAGTATTAGTCCATTTGAAAAATATAAGGGAGATCCTAGTATTTAGCATGAATATTAGGGGAGGTTTGAATCTTTTACCCAAAATTTTAAATATGCAATACAAAATATTTTAAATTAGGAAATATAGGAATTTGCCCACTTTCTCATATTAAAAAATTTAAATTTAAAATATAAAAATACTAATATATATATATATATATATCTATTATTGGCTCGGATTGATTTTAGTCAATTTATAAACAGCCAAACCAAAAATCAACCCGACCTGATCGGGTTGGGGAAATTGTAAACCAAAACTGATTGAAAATATTAGAAAACCGATAATCTCTGATCAAGTTGGGTCCAGTTGGTTGATTTTATCAATTTCATTGGTTTGAAGTGCTAATACAATGATTACCTACTGATGTAACGATTTCTAATCACGTATCATTTTTTCATGATGTGCCAATTTTTTGGCTGAGTACCTCGTCATCTTGTCTGCTCCCAAGTGGCCTGTGACTCAGAGGCTGAAGTGGAGCTCCCTGGTGGCGAGCTACCAAGTGGCGAACTGCCTAGTGCCGAGCTGCCTGGTGGTGAGCTACCTGGTGGCGAACTGCCTGGTGATGAACTACCTGGTGGCGAACTGCCTAGTGATGAACTACCTTGATGAGCTGCTTGGAGGTGAGCTACCTTGATGAGCTGCCTGGTGGTGAGGTACCTTGATAAGCTGTGTTGCTCTTTTAGAGGCCTGCAAGGAACCAAATGTCAGAGGACCTGGGGTGGCTAACCCGGCGAGGTCACTCCGATGCCTAAGTTAGCACTTAGTGGAGACTTGAGAATGATATTAGAGAATGGGAGAGCTAGAGAGCAGAGGTTACCCATCATCCTTTCGCCGTGGGGGGTGAGGTCTTTTTATACTGGAGTCCTCGTGGGTTATGTGGAGCAGTTCCTGGATTCCCGCTGTGATGGGACCTGCTTTCGTGTTAGGTGGGGATAAAGCCACCAACTGGTAAGGTTGCCCATTTCCGCCTGACTGAAGGAGTGGGTGAGCTAATATAGCCGTTATAATTCACAATCCCGTAAAATGCGTGGTGAGCTCCTCGGGGTTGTCAGGTTGGCACTTGGGCCAGGCTGCCAGCTCGTGCCAGGGCCAGGTCGCGCCAGGGCCAACTTGCCAGCTTGTGCTAGGGCCACGTCACACCAGGGCCAGGGCCAGGCTGCCAGCTCGTGCAAGGGCCAGGTCGCGCGAGGGCCAGGCTACCAGCTCGTGTCAGGGCCAGGTCGCGCGAGGGCCATGCCACCAGACCACGCCTGTGCCAGGCTACGCATGGTGGAACACAATCAACTTAGCAAAGACAAGTTGTTGCTAAAGTGGTTCCGAGTGTCACCTAGTTGTTATGAGGTACCATGTGTCATAATGTCATTGGAGGGCCAAATCCGTCCTCATCACCTACCATAACTTTACCAAAAAAATTGATTATTTTTAGGCTTATGTAAGTTTATTTTAGGCTTTATGAATTTTTACCAAAAGGGCTTTTACAACTTTCCGGATATCATGATACGTGCACCATCAAAAGCTACTGTCAGAAACCTCCCAAACGGGCCCTTAGACTTCACCAATCCATTCACATTGTAGGCACAAAGATTTAGTTTATAGTTAGTTATATTCCAAGAACAATGCACCCATGCGTATTAATTCTGTATGCTATAAATGGAAATTACTTTCAAGAGTTGATCTGCAGGGAGAACTCAAAAAGTGGGATTTGTTGGGCTCTGGTCTAAACCCGAGCTTTACGTGAGCGCCAATCACGGTATTATGGATTTGACATCGGACCAACTACTGGTATTGGATGAATCTCATGATTATACGACTTCGATGCACCTGTTCCACCACCAGAAGCCAAAGCCGGGCCCACCCCGAACAGGATCAAGAATATTCCAATCGAGGGGTTTTCACTTTTCAGAATCCAAGTCTCACGTGATGCAAATCCCATGGAATCAAACTCCCCGGCTGCCGCTATTCATTAATAAGTAATAGACAAGCAAAGCAACCGCGGATACACTACAGACGACACAGTACGCGGCTCTTAGAGGATGCTAAGGGCTCGTTTCGCTCGAAACGCATTAATTTAAGTCTCGTGCGCCTCATACGTGGGGTTGGCACTTGGCGGGTGCGCAGTGCGCACATCAGGAAGATTCTCTTTCTTTGGAACCGTCGACCGATGATTCTTCCGCACTTTCTCTCTCCTCGCTCAGAGAGGTAGAGAGGATATTCGGAGAGAGAAACTCACATCTCGACAGACAGATATGGGTCTTCCTTCTCGTCGCTTCGATCTTATCTCCACTTTCTCTCTCCTCTCTCTTCTATCTTCTGACGTCAGTGCCAGCACACAGAGAGAGGCGAAGAGGGTAGGGAACCGCCTCCTCGAATATTCAACCTTTCTTTCCTAAATATCCCATCCCCCACCATCAATCAAAGATTCGCTGTGTACGCGACGCCCCGACCTCGACCCTCCTACGCCCTCCGATCTCTTCTTAAGCTTACCCCCTGAGTTCTCATCTCTCTCTCTGATCGCTTCTGTGTTCTCCAAGATTATTCTTTCTCGGATTCCTGATACTACCTCGATCCCCGTCTTCGATCTTTCCAATTTTACGGACCTGCCGATGCTGTAAAACAAAGCCCTCCTTTTAATGATCTGTTGTTCTCTCTTCTTTTCCATCCCGTCAGATCTTCTCTCTTCTTCTAAGCTTCTTCGTCGAAACTGGTCCATTGGAGAACCAAGTCACCAACTAATCCGCCGTGAGCATGATGGATAATTTCGCTGAGAAAATGCAGAGATGCCAGACTTACATGGAAGCCTTGGAGGAAGAGCGTCGCAAGATCCAGGTCTTCCAGCGCGAGCTCCCGCTGTGTTTGGAGCTTGTTACTCAAGGTACTCTCTCTTAATCTCATACCCATCTCACCATACATCGCCCAGTTGTGGATTTGGGTTATCCTTGAGAGATTATCTGTTTAGTATTCTTGTTTTTTCATTTTTCTGAGGTGGGTTTTAATGCAATGATGTTTTTCTCTTCTGGGTTGTTGGTATTGTAGTCATTGGGACGTGCAGACATCAGCTCGCGACTGTTCTTGTTTTAGCTTTTCTGTGAGGTGGGTTCTTAATATAACGATGTTTTGTTTTCTGGGTTGTTTGTGTTGTAGCCATTGAGACATGCAGACAGCAGCTTGCGACCAGCACTGAGTATTTTCCCGGACCGACTGAATGTTCAGAACAGACATCAAGCGAAGGTCCTGTGTTGGAGGAATTCATTCCATTAAAACGGAGCTCCTCTTCTGAAGAGGAGGAAGAATTAAACAAGCCCAATAACAAAGACAGGAATGACAAAAAGGCGGACTGGTTGAAATCTGTCCAATTATGGAATCAAGCGCCAGATCCACCCCTCAAACAGGTTAAAGAAAACGATCTTTTTGGAAAACATCCATTTATTTATTTTTTTCCTGTTTGATCGATCAAACTAAAATCGGAAGGATTTGTAGGATCTGGGTCCGAAGCTATCAGTCGTGGAGACAAAGAAAAGTGGAGGCGCATTTCATCCGTTTGAGAGGGATACTAAGCGGGTTACAAAACCCACAGCGACATCTGTAGCGGCGGCACCATCCACAGCCCAAGCAACTGCTACGACAAGCTCCACTGCCGAGACCATCACTGACGACAGCAGAAGAGACGGGAAAGAAGGACAGTCGCACAGGAAACCCAGGCGGTGTTGGTCGCCGGAGCTACACCGGCGGTTCCTGAATGCCCTTCAACAGCTCGGTGGTTCTCATGGTGGGTAAATCAATTAAACAAACTATTCTTTAACTTCCCGAGTAAATGTGAATTAACGACTAATATGTTGAATGTTTAATTTATCTGTCCTCAGCTGCAACGCCTAAGCAGATCAGGGAACTGATGAAGGTAGACGGGCTTACGAACGATGAAGTCAAAAGCCATTTACAGGTCTGTATCATTCATTATCTCTAAATTCTAGATTAAACACAAAGCATCTTCTAATTAACGTTTCTTATCAGAATCAAAGCGTGGAGAATCGAACGTGTTTTGATATTCTAACTTCTAAGGGAAAGATACACATAGGATTCCTTCCAGTTGCTGTTTATTTATATTTCAGATTTATTTTATTAGGCAGTAGCAAGGTTAGTTGATAAGCCATTAATGGCTTAAAAGTGGAAGAGAACTAAACAATTGAATCCAGTCGCTTATAGGGATTGGGAGGGAATTGGATCGAATCATTGGGATTATCCAATCGGTGGGTTTCGACCTAACCAGCCTTTGTGGGTCCTCGTATGGCACGGAGTTCTAACCCACTTGATCTTTGCCATGGATTTTCTCTCAATAGTAAAGTGTCTATGATATAGGATTGCTTAACAGAGAATTAAAGCGCCATTATTTGTTTTTTGCAAGCTAAACGAAATGCATTAGTACTTTGGAAAGTGCCATTATTTGTTGATGCGGTCAATTTGGTTTCACAGAACACAAAAGATTCCTGGGAATATTTCAATAAATTACTATCTTTCCAAGTTATCACCCATTAATTATTGAAATTAGTTTTGATTATTTACCATTTACTGCAAAAGGGGAATATTGATTTTTTTGGTACTGTTTGTTTCAGAAATATCGGTTGCATACAAGACGACCGAGTCCGGCGATTCACAGCAACGGCAACCAGCAAACGCCACAGTTTGTGGTGGTGGGAGGATTATGGGTTCCACCCCCTGATTATGCCGCAGTAACGGCAACGAAGAGGGAGGCAAATGGGGTTGCTGCTAATGGTATATATGCTCCGGTGGCTCCACAACCGGTGCCGGAATCGTGCTCTCAGCAGCAGAAGAAGCAAAAGCAGTCTCCGCAGTCGTCGTTACAGTCAGAAGGGAGGAGCAGCGGGCAGAGGGATGATGACGCTCATTCCAATTCACCTTCTGCGTCTTCCTCTACACATACCACCGCTGCAGCTTCTCCTTCCTTGTAATGTTACATGGGTATTAGAATGAGGGTCTGAGTTGAGTTTTGTAACAGATGTTTTTGTTCTTGTAACGTGAAAAATAACAAACCAAAGAATTTAAACGTGATCTCTGGTTTTTGTTTATAATTGTAACATTGAAACAAGATCTCAATATTTCCAAAGCCATGGCCTTTACCTTTCTTTAATTGGGTAATTTTGGTATTTTAGGAATTGTTTCCCTAAACCTTTGAACTTGAATACCCACAGTAAGGGGGTCGTTCCAATGCCATTCAAGACACTGGCACATGTGTACAAAACACCTACAACAGAGATTTGGGCCTTGAAGTAATGTTTGTTTATGTTGGTTGTAACTGATTTTTGGTTCTCCTCGTTGGGGGAATTTGCTTCTTGTTCTGAATTCTGAAAAAGTAAAAAGCTCTCGGGAAGAAAACAGCAATCTTACAGTTTCAAGCAGTATTTATTTGGGTAGATTGGTTTTGACTTGTTAATTGATATGAGTTTTAGTTAATGTTCTGATAAACGTTTTTTTCATCATCTTCTTCTTCCCCTCTCCTCTCTTCTGGTTGACTTTCTTTGATATTAATTCAATAATCGACACTGCTGAACATGTATGGTTGAAATAAAAATTTTCTTCATAAAATTGCCATCTCTGTCTACAAAATTAGAAGAAAAATAATAAAGAAGCAAGGATCTATGAAAGTTTCAAATTCAAGTGGCGTTTCAACAAATATGATATCAGGGTGAGGAAAAGATTTGTTTACTCTTTCTTAGGAAAGAATGCCAATCGTTCATTGCCACCAAAGAAACCCACTTTCTAGTTAATAAAAAAGTGCAAGAATCCCACACCCAACTCTCCACTTCCCTCACCAACATCAAGAATCAGTAACAAAAATGTCAAAAAAGGAACCTTCAACCTTCTCAAAAGCAGTAAACACATTAACGGAGTATTTTCGACGATGCAATCGATGTCTAGGTTGGCGTAGATACAAGACTTCTTGCTCCACCAAGAACAATAAACTGAATCATCATGCTCAGAAGACCATAATTTAGTTTTCTTTTTCTTATATTAAACATTGTTTCCTGTGCCGGTCCTGTCTGCCACCATCTGTGATTCTTTTGCTGCTTTCAAATAAATTTCGAGAATCCTAAGCACCCAAGTTATGGTGGAGCCAGTAGATTAGACGCCCCCCTCCAACTGAACCAACCTAACCCAGAAAAAAGAGAAACATATATAAAAGAAAACCAGGAAATGAGCAGAGTGGTTAATAGTCCAATCTTAAAGCTCAGACACAGACAGAGAGCGAAAGATGGAAAAGAAATAAATTAAAATAGTACCGACTCAGCGACTCTGTTTGTTGTTAGTTTCTTTAAAAGATTCTCCACAATTCAAACGATGGAATCGAGGATCTTCATGCCCACGCAGGAGTAATATTAACGTATCAAAGTTATGTCAACGATTAATATATAAAACCCTCCTCCTCCACAAATAGAACCAAAAAATTTGTTCTTTGAATGTGATGTACATGTTCCTCTGTTCCGAATATTCCAGGGTATCAAGACTTATCTCAGGATATTCTCCATTAATATAGCTTATCTTCTAGGTAAAGCCACTCAAGGGAAATATTCTAGTGACCAACTCAAATCTTGCTTTCTTCAAGATCCCATCTTCTCTAAAAGTCTAAACCTGTAATTGCCGTCTAATCACATTAATTAATCGGGAAGGGTCATTGGGTTAACATCATATATGCCTTGTGGATTATGAAGCCACAGATTTCAGTGAAAACCCATTCAGCAGACTTGCCACACAGACAAAATTTCTCATCCAGTTGATTGATTGTCATTGTTCAGTAGATCCAACAGTGATGGTCATCTCCTCTGAAAGTCTAAACATGTAATTGCCGCCTAATCACATTAATTAATCGGGAAGTATACGAATCTTATGCCTCGGGATGGACTGAATCCTGGGCCATTTATCTTCTTACTCAACAGATTTCATTGAAAACCCATTTAGATTTCGTTCCCACATAGACTTTTTCATCCAATTGGTTGATTCATGGATGTATCATCTGATCTATTTGCAGCTCTTTACATGGGGAAGGGGGAGAAGAAAATTGTCATTTGTTCAGTAGATCTAACAGTTCCTGGTCATCTGATGCTCGGGACCCACACGCTGTGAATCAGTGGCCAATGGGAAATTGACTATGTATCTAATTCAAGTCATGAGATCATGTTCTTATTCTGTGTTCTCTGTACTCTTTTTTTTTTGATGAATATGTGTTCTTTCTAATTAGAAAATGGAAAAGAGAGAGACACGGGATATGGATATGTAGACCCAGAAGCCTGGAGATACGCCTCATCAGTGATTCGAAGGCCAAATGCCTCTTCCCCCTTTTTAAAGCACAGATGGTATACTGAATTTGGATGACTTGATTGGCCTCACAAGCGTCAAAAAGTATGCGTTAGATATGTATAATATATAAGAATTACCAGATTTTGATGCATGGATCATGCTTTTTTATAATCTTAGAATTGAATCATGGGGACCAGTGTGGGAGCTTTATCACTGCAGATTACTACTAGGGTTGTGCTTGCTATCATTGCTGTTTCTACTTGAAACGTTCTTGGTTGATAGGTGTGAAATATGTATTGCCACGTCACTTCAATTACAAAAATCAAGAATACATTTGTGGGACTGGTCATTAATGTTTATAGTTGAAACGTCAATTTTTCAGATAGGAACAATAGTTAGTTTTTACAAATTTGTAATAAAAATAGTAACACTACCAACAATCCAAATATAACTCGCTAGATATAGAATAAATCCAAACTAATAGTGCATGTAGCTCATACAATTATTAGGAGTTTGGATTAACGAGTTCAAATCAGCTCCTCACAACTTCACAAAGGACATTATTTTTGAGATTATGATCGGGAGATGTTTCTAATGCATGACGGAGATGTATTGTGAGACGTTGTGGGGGGCAATGTTGTGAGGGGCTGATTTGGTCTCAACTACATTTCATGACTGTGTTGGGGATGTTTAACCGTGAATGATAATGCCCCACAACCACTCCAACCTCTCAGTTCAGAAGCATAGTTGATATATTATTGGTTAAACAACCCTTAGTACTCAATTGGGATAAATAATAATATAAGGCTTAATTTTCTTGCGCAAGGTGCCAACTGCCTTTGCACCGGAGTTGGGGGGGAGGATGTAGGCATGCCAATAATACTTAAAATGATGTCCGATATTACATCTGCATCAGAGTTGGATGATGTATTTATGTAATCGGAATGGATTTGGATTTTGGAATCTGCATATTGGATCGGATTCAGATTTGACTCCATCCAGTTCAATTAAAATCCAAATTTGATTATATTATAATGTTTATTGATTTTAATATATAAATTTTATATAATTATATCTACAATTATATATATTACATGAATTTATATATAATAAATTCCGTATATTATATTTACATTAATTTAATATATATTAAAGTTGAAATAAAAAGTAATTAACTTTTTTTTTTATGATTTTTAAAGATTAAAGTGGAATCGAATTAAATCTGAATCCGATCCAAGTCCACTCGGATTCAAATCTGAATACAAGGTCTTTAAATTTAATCGGATTCAAATTTTGTTGAATCCAATATGAATCTGATTCGATTGTGGCCCTAAGAAAGGGCTACCCTTGTTGTGTAGCCCCATGGTGAAAACAAATTTCCTTTACCGAGGACCCGAGGTATTTCACTAAAAAAATATGGGATGCAAATCTATCAATGGTAACATGTCGTGCATAGAAAGCACAAACAGCCGAAGCTGCCCTCTCTACACCCGTAAAAAGAGAGATCACTTTGGCTGTTTGGAAAAAACGGCTTTGGCCGTTTTGGGACCCTCTGCACATGATAACTAACTAATTTCAGGTTCTTATTTGTCTTTTCATCTGAAAAAACATTAAGTATTAGAAGGAGAACAAACAATTATTTATATAACCCTACTATACATGACAATTAACTAACGAGATAGACAAGTATGACCCTATTGATAGTATATACTGTCCAATATAAGACAGCGAAAAATTTCCCTACTTTTTTTTTTAAAGCCAAACAAAATTTCATTCATAAAATGGTCAGATTACAATAGGAAGGGGAAGAAACAGCAATAAGAGGAAGCGGAAACAACAATATAAGGGTTTGGAGAATTAACTGAACTGGTTGAAAACCCTAGTTAAGTTTTCCCTACTTCATTATTCTATTCAGTAAACAAATTCGTTGGCTGTTGTGAATATTGTACGGCATGACACATTAATCCATTCACTCCCTTGTTTCAGTCAAAAGAGATTGGAATGCAATTACTCTTTTACCCATGGTAACGTGTCATACCCGTAAACGTTTCCAACAGCCAAAGGTTTTCGACTTTCGCTGCCTATTTCAAAGTTATGACCGTTAATTTTTTCATGAGTATTTTTAAATAGGAATTAAAAAAATATCCTTTATATTTGTAAGGGATTCAAGTCCTTGGGGCTCACATTTAGGAATCCCCTGCTAGAATATCTACGTGTGCTAAGATGGATTTTTTCAAAACATCATCCACCAAACCTAGGGCTGTCAATGGGTTGGGTCCATCCAAACCGGTGGTTCGATGTATATATATATATATATATACACACACTAGTAAAATTGTACGTGCGTTGTGCGTGGTAATATCAAATAATGGTGTTGATAATAGTCAGCAACCAAATGATCTTACTAATTGAACTATTAATCTATTTAACCAGGAAAATAAACTATGATTAAGACATTAATTCATTTTTATCTTTGTATTTTAACCATTTGCTAACAATATTTCTTATTTTTCAAACATATTTTTGTTTAATATGAAGAATATATAATATTGATGTATGTTCAAATTTTTCTATAAAATTTATAAAAAGTTCTATATTTTTATTTTTTATTGTTTAATTTATAAGATAATAAAAATTACTTATTTACCAAGAGGAAATGCAATTCCAATATATTGTTTAAATATTGGTTTTAATATTGCGGTCAAATCAATTATTTATATATATATATATATCATTTATATATATGTTATTTATTATTTATTTATAAATATGTTATTTATATTGCGTTTTTGTAAACTTCTTATATGATGAAAATGGTTGAAAAAATACTTATAT